CTTTCCCTAGGTATGATTTTAAGTTTCACTTGTGTGTCCTTAAGCATATGTTGGTTCAATCCAATGTATTTCTGAAATGGAAATCTTGTTATTGTATAAGACCTACACATAAAAATTTTCCAAGTCTGTCAAAATTTTTCATTACACAGAATGAAAGGGAAGACTCAACAATACATCGTAGTGCTGTAGGAGTCTAAAGTCAATACACAGATTATATACCAATGTAAGTGGGAAAATTATGATAACTTTTTTTTTGCTATCTGCATAAAGATAATTCAGTTTGCCTTTATTCCCTGAGCAGATAAAAGGAGACTGGAAGAAAAGACAAGGAGATTTTAGTCAGTAGTGAAACTTGTAAGGGATGATTAGCAAATTCAGTGCTTAATGATTTTTCTTCCTCCTTTGATGTTTTCCTGTGCATTTCTCCGTCACCAGCTTCTGGTTTCTAATGGGAAATTACATTTGGTTCAGTGCAATTTCGGTCTCCTGAGCTAGGGCTGAGTTGTTCTCTGTGGCATTTCTTCCAAGACTTCACTTGGGTTTTCGTATGTGAAGTAGGGGAACTCTTCTGTGGGAGTCTGTTGCATGGTCCAGTGGCTTATTTCATTATTTGTTGAACATAGCAAGAACGTTTAGTGTTGTTCCAGATATCTGAGACAGGCTTACTCTCTGCCCTTTGGAGCCTTAAATTTCAGCTGGACAAGGAAGGCAGTTTAGAAGTCATGGTCAGGGACAAACAGGAATCTGCCTCTTGCAGGTTCATTAATATATATTGTCTTTGGGATTATTTTTGCAGCTAGGTAAATGCCAAATAATCTCACTGAGGGGAAGTTGTGGATTATTTGGACTCAGAAAGGTTGGTGGTATGTACCTAAAACTGAAAGGTTCTTAAGGAACAGTCCTGTCATAAATGGTGAAGTAGTTAAGATGGACCTGATACAGACTTTCCATCGATAACTTCTGATTCTGGAGATAATCTGGGTTTGCAGGTCTAATAACATCTATTATTTCTTCTGTGTCCTTGGTCTGACATAACAGATATCTCGTCCTTACTTATTTGTCTTGTACACTGTCAGGAGAGGTAAACTTTGGCTTGATGAACCTGTCACGTTTTGTTTGCTTCTTTTCACTGCAGTCATCACCACGAGAGAAACCTAAATGTCAGAAGAAAGCTATACTTAAAAGATGGGTAGCATTTTTTTCTTACAGATGGACAAATACAATTTCCTGACCTTTTGTGGAATCAACCCTTAGCAGAAGCCTTAGCACTATCCAGTAATAACAATAATACGAAAAGTAGTTGGTGCTTGCCAATCATCTAATGCTGCAGCAGCTCTGCTTTTCACTTTGTGAACCCCAATTGGCAGTTGGGGTGAGAGTACGTTTTAGATAGCACATCCCTGATATATTCCAGTGCCACAGAAGAGAAATACACATCTCTGTAAGAACTGAAAACAAGTTAATGCACCTGTCTCTGAAGAGGGGCCTGAGAGATACTAATTTTTACAGGCATGAGTATGGATCAATGCAGAATAATTGAATTTCAGCCTTTTCTGCATTTGGCTAACTCCAGTTCTTAGGAAAATGTAGAATGAAAAGCTCAAATCAATGGTGTTGTCTTTGCATAGGGAGATAAAGTTAACCTGCTTAGCAGAGTATTTGTTTCACATTTCTAATCTTTGAACAGATAATTACCTCAATTATTTATATGAAAGTAACTTCTATGCACCTATAGTTCTTCTGAATAGAAAAGTAGAGCTTCTCATGGAAGAATGGGCTATTAGAAGTGTGTATATGTGAAATGAGAAAATAAGGGAAGAGTTTTTTGTGTATATCCAAAAGCATTTACTGAAGGTGTGTCTCTGTGTATTTAATGTCCCATGAGTGGCCAATTTTCTTCATTTTTTTCCATATCAAAACCATTGAGCACTGTTAATTTTCAAAGCAAAGGCTGCGAAATTAAGAAGTAGAGTTACAGAGATAGGGCAGTGGAAAAATATAAAGTGATTAAAAAACATAGTTCTAACTAGAGTTGTTCAAATAAAAAAAAAATTAAAAAACCCAATTAGGAACAAAAGTCATAGAAAATGTGAACATATTGTGTTCCTTAAATAACCAGATGTTCTTTCCTTCCTGAAGGCAGCCAGGCCTAGGAATAAAAGGTTTTAAACTATTGTTTTAAGTTAACTGTGAATTTTGCAAATCTGTTTTCACCCTTTAGCAAATAAAATTCTAATACAGCAACATAAGCAAAGTCATTTTCATCTTTGGGTGTTCTTATTTGTATGTTGTTCTGTGTTGAAGTGTTAACCTTATCACAATGACTTATTGGAAAACTGAAGCAGTAGATAGAATATTACAGTTTCACATTGCAGACTAAGAACCTGACAACCATCCTTTGTCTGAAAGCTTACTTATTTATTCTTAATATTTTTGTAAAATAGGTTTACTTTCAGATATTTTAACGTGGTGAGTTACACTATTTAAGCAGGCTAGTTAGGAGCTTAATTCAGTGGAGACACCTTTTATCATAAACCATCGATTCAAAAAAGGGAAAAAGAAAGTGGTTGTGCTTGGTTGATGGGAATTAATTTGTTAGTTATGCTAATAATATTCTAGTTACTGCTTCTGATATTTTCTCAATATTGTATTTTAAGCTATTTGCTGACATTGAAAGTGGCCGTATAATAATACTAAATTCTAACTAAATCCGTGATGAAGCATACATGACATTTCAAAGAAGTTGTATTAGTTCATCATGACTGAAATTACAGGTACTGCTAGAAAACTTAAGCAATAATGTATGGTCATGATCACTCATATAAGGATTAGTCAGAGAAATCTGCATTCCAGCTTTTAACACTTTTCACAATCTGAGCAATAAATGACAAGGGGAAAACACATTACTGAAATTTTGAACCGAACTCTTTGTACATTTATTTTCAGCTGAATTTTCTTCTTAAGTAGCTGCCACCGTCTCAGGGTTTTCTCCAAGCTAGTTTCATGTGCCTGAAAAGCTGTTGAGTTTCACTTTCTTCTTCTTCAGATAAATTCTTTTCTATACAC